ATACCTTAAAATTCACAGATATAATGGTATATTATTATAATCATAAATACATTGTGCTCGAATTTTAAAAAAAAAATTTAATCTTTTTTACCTTCAACAAATCATCATAGGCTATATCCCTTTCGCTCATTTGTTAGAACTATAAGTAGATATAGTAGTTTAATATATTTTGTCTAGAGAGCTTTATTTTTTTCCCTTTCCTTTTTTAGTTGTTTAATAATAATTGTAATTGACTCAATTGTTATATACTAAAGATTCTGAAATTTGGAAATTCCTATTAGAGAGTAAACTTTTACTAAATGGACATTATCAAATATCTTGCAATATCTTAATTCATGTAAACAAATATGAGCTCAAATACCGATTGGAATTACTATGAGGAAAGTACTAATTTCATGATACATATAAAAATTGATAATGCGATTGCTAAAGGAAATTATTAAGCTTACATGCTACAAGTCATATGATAACTTAGAGAATGATAGTTAGCCAAAACGCATTTGCGTCTATTAGCTTAATTATTCTATTGATAAACTCTATAACATAACAAATATTGTAGATGTTAATGTAAGAAATGTTGGCATACATTATAATGTAAGAAATATTATAGATGTAATGGGTGTTTGTTTAAAAAGAATGTTCTTTATAGGAGAGATTTATTTCTATATTGCTTTGTTCATTATCAATGATTATAGGAGAGATTTATTTCTATATTGCTTTGTTCATTATCAATGATTCAATCAGTACTTAGGTGATCTGCCCTAATTCCCTATGCATCCTTGTTTCATGTTCCTTTAACTTTGTGTTCAGAAGGTTATATGTCTTGATATGTCCTTCTTATTGTTTTAGCCTTTCCTATGACCATAAAACCATGGCGAAATAGTAAGAGACATGGGGAGCTGCTAGGAGATCAACAATTTGATGCTATTTAGTTGAGGTCAGGTCTTTGGTGAATGGAGATGTTTTTAAGCTCTATATTTTGTTGCTAAATGTTGCTAATGTTCCAATTTTTTGGTGTGAGTATGTTAGGAGTTGTTTTGATAGGTTTTTGATGTATACAGCTAGGGAATTTTATGTTTTTTTTGGTGTGATGTAATGAGAGATACTCTTCATTTTATTCTTTGGTTGGGGATTTTGATGATTATCTGTAAGTAGATTGTAATCACCCATTTTTTTAAGAATGTATTGCTCGGTTGGGGTCTTCTTTCAAGACTCAATCCTTTCTCTTAAGAAGACATGAGAAGAGCTTGACTTCATAATGATTAACCGATGCTAGATAATTGTCTATGGTACTTGACATGTATTTTCTTGAAAACATATTGCACTTGCTGAACCAATTCTATTGTATTCTATCTTGAATGCTGGTCATATTATTTTGTTATAGGACACAAAAGATTTAATGTTCAATCCAAGTATCCTATTCATTCAATGAGGTTATTAGTGTGATTCTTAGTTGTTATATCCAAATGTCTAAAAGATTTCAACTTAATCGTTTTGACGTCGCATAAGGTCCAATGACTTTATTTTATGTCTATATATTTGATCCATTGCTTATATTCAATAATTTAATAACAAATATTTCCCTAAATAAATTTAAAAATTTATAATAAATGATAAAAATTTTACCACGTGCATTGCACATGTAATCCAACTAGTGATAATAAACATGCTACAATGACTGGTTTCCAAAAAGGATTTCCCAAATGAAAAATATCATCATTTTGCAAAATAGTCCAAAACACGAAAATGTAAACATATGAATTTTGACATTTAGGCTAAACCATGTTTTGAAACTTTGCACAATGATTATATAGACTTAATAAAATATGTATATGATTATTGTTAAGTCCAAAAACTAAGAATATTATATTTTCACAAATACATTAGAGAATGAAACATAGGAGTATGTATATGAAAATATATTTGTTTCATATCTAAGTAGATAAACCAAATCACAATAATAAATATAAAATATGTAATTTCATATTTATAAACATAAAAACCAAAACTATGCATGTATATATATAACTATATATATATACACGAAGAAACCAATAAATGTGTGTGTGTATATGATATTGAGCTTAGAGTATCAAACACACATAATATAACAATAAATGTGTGTGTGTATATGATATTGAGCTTAGAGTATCAAACACACATAATATAAAACCTAAACTGAATTACCCAAGCTTGATCTTGATCTTCATTGTAGCTCAACTTGATACACATGCGGATGAAGCTTGAACTTGATCTTTAACTATGAATTGCGTAGGCTTCACCGACATTCCACCAACCTCCTTTGAATATGATCGTTGAAGCTCTATTCCATCCATCCTCCAACTACGTTGTTTGTCTATAATAAATAAGAAAACACAAGCACTAGACAAACAATATTAGTGGTAAATTGTTTGTTAAACATCATCAAAACAAGAAGGCCAACATGAGGAGGTGTATTGACAGAAAGGTTACCTATCGTATTAGTTCTAGTAGGGGTTCTTTCCTGCATTTGTGCCGAGCTCATGGTAGTTGGAGACTTCGTAGGAGAGGAGACGGTGGGGAGACGAGTTGAGATGGCGGATTCGGTGAGTTGTTCCTTTCTGGAGGAGGATCGGCGTTGTTTGTCGAGCAGTGGATTTTGTATTTGGGCTTCGACATGTTTGGGCCATCTTATGAGGTTACCGACTACTGCATTAAGAGTTGTTAGATCTGGTGGAGCTGTTTTAGACTTTAGGTTGCGTCAGATGTTTGGCTATCCAGCACTTGGTCACATCGTGGATGTGAGATTGGATCCGATTGCACGATTGAGATTCAGAGGCTCTTTTGGCTATCAGTTGAGAGCTTCTGAGTTTGTTCGGAGCAGGTATGTCACATTAGACTCTCGGCAGGTAGAGAGTGTAGATCAGATCAGTGGGATATCGCAGCGGGTGGAGGGTGATGCTACTCCATATTGGGTGGAGATTACTCCACATACTCCAGATCATTCTGCATTGTTTGGGATTCCAACTGATGTGGCACAGTTTGGGGATCAGATTGTTCAGGATGCAGATGATGAGTTGGTAGATTCGAGTGCAGCTGGTGGATGTAGCTTGGATATGGCCATTGGGTCACCTCAGGTAGAGGTGTTTGGATCGTGTCAGTTTGGGGTCATTGGTGATGCTATCAGCCGTAGATTGGGTGTTGATGTTGGTGAAGAGTTGAGAACTCTTCTTTTGGATTGAGGGCCTTTGGAGGCCATTGGGTGAACTGCATGAAGACTTGATTCCTTGGACTAGAGGATACGTAGACAGTCTTTATGATGCAGCCGATTTGGTGAGTAGACACTGTTACTTTGGGTGAGTGTTCGTACTCCCGTATGGGTCTCGACTTGTTGTGGATGAAGTTCGTTGTCATGAGTCCGTTGCCATGGCGTACTGGAAGCAACAAGTGAGGTATTTGGTGTGGTCAGTGTCGGCTCAGTTTTGGGAGAACGTTCGCCGAGGTGGAGATTTGTAGGACCGGCAGAACAGTTGATGGAGCGTGGGGAACGTTTTGGATGGTCGGCGGTCGACTGCGAGATCGTGATGGTCGACCGCGTTCGTGCATGGTGTCTCACTGTGCCTCTAGATCTTTGGCGGTCAACCGTGACGGTCGACCGCGTTTTCTTCTAGAGTTTGGGCCTGTTTCTGGAGTTGGTGCGGTCGACCGTGACGGTCGACCGCGATGCCTGCGCGGTCGACCGTCACGATCGACCGCCATGCCTGCGCGGTTGACCGTCACGATCGACCGCCGAAGCGGTTTGGGCTGAATTTGGGTTCCAGACCCGTTTCGTTTTGCATTGTTATAAATACCTAAGGGGTGTTTCTAGGGTTTTGTGTGCAAGGGTTTTGAGCTGAAATAAAGGGGTTTTGTTGGGCTTCTATTGTAGGGGCATTTGGAGAGATCAAGTGTGATTTGAAGAAGTTTTTTTGTAAAATTTGTAACCCTAGTTGTATCCCCTTGATTTCTAATAGTGAAAACTCTCATTTCCTTGCCCCGTGGACGTAGGCATCTCGCCGAACTACGTTAAAACTGATGTTGATTATTTGTGCTAATTGAGTTGGTGTGTTTGGCTTTCTCTCTCGGAGATTTGATATTGGATCTCGGCATCGGGGGTTTTCCCAACATGTAGCGCCTCCCTTTTCATATGGATAATGAAAATCCCAAATTAACCCCCACTACCCAATGAATGACACAGAACGAATTGCCAACTCGCATGTAGATAGCGCTGATTTGATTTGGATTCTTTTTCGGGACCGAAACGTGCAGTCGGCCCGGAGTACAACTAGTCAGGCCCTACCAGGACCCGCTGGTTCACGGTCTGGGTCAATCCAGCCCGTGCGCTAACTGCTCAAGCAGGTGCACGATAAGATGCTACGAGGAGATTAATGTCCAAAACCACTGAACTAATCTTTCAATTTTGAAGAGAAAACTCAAATCCAAATCCAAACAATTATACAAATGTATCCAATTAAGAATCCAGGAACCCAACAATCTCGTCCCTAATCAATCGGATCATTTGTTACAATTTGACCCTTTTCCTCCTTTGCTATTTCCAAAGAGCCCTCCGGATTCTTAGAGAGCCTATGAATCTCTTTGCCCCCCGTTCAACAGACGGAGGTTATAATCCTAATCACCACACAACTCCTTAATTACGGGATAAAGAATAGGATTTACTGTTAATAACCCCACTAACCCCAAATTCAAAGCTGATGAGATTTCTTCAATGCCAAGCTGAGCCATCTCCCAAGAAAATCTCTGCAGATTGATTGCTATCTAATTTAAAGCTGACCCCTTCTCCTCTGATGCCGAAAACTGATGACAGCCCACCTTCCCTTTCTCTTTCAATCACACAAATCCAAACTCTCTGCTCTTCTTAAAATTTATTACTAAATATTTATTTACTAATATAAGTAATAATGCCACAGTATCTTTATGAATGAGATAGGGAGTGCACCAGCCTAGGAAAATGCAATTACTTCGGATTTTATTGTACCTAAACTGAATTATTTGAATGGGTTTGTAATAGAGACAAATCTTTTTCTATTTATGCAAAGAAAAAAAAGGTGATTGAATGTATTGACGCGTGTATTTATAGATAATAATAACCGATCCCTCTCTCCCTTTACTTTTTGTTTTTTTTATTATTGATTAGAGAGAGCCTCACGCTCCCGGTCTGATCTAACAACTAAAACTCTCTCTCTCTCTCTCTCTCCTCTCCCTCTTCTCTCTGTTTCTCTTGCTTTTGGATCTAAATACAAATTATATGATGACCATCCAAGCTTATTCATTTCCAAGTATGGAAGATTTCAACCAAAGTTTTCAGTTTGAGCAGCAACAAATTAATGCAGAGATGAAGATGGTGATGCCAATGGAGCAAACGTTGGGGTCGCTGGTCGAAAAGCAGAGCCAAGAGGTCGACCACTACCTTAACCTGCAGGTGAAGTTTTAATACTTGTCTTCTTGAATGCACGCTTTAATGGAAGAAATTAAGGTTATTGCAAGCTTTTGAGATATTTGAAAAGCATATTAAGGTTATTGCAAGCTTTTGAGATATTTGAAAAGCGAGAACCAAATTGTGCCCATTGATCGAGTTTAGTGGAGTTTGTAATTTGACAACATGTTGCATAGAATTAGAAGGCCCTATACAAAGCTCTAGTGGATTCATAATTTTCATCCTTCCCACCTTTACGAAAATAAGAATACGGGTAAATTGCATTCATAATTTTCAATGTTTTCTATAATTGCCAATATCCTTTCTCTAGTTTCTTTTTCATTACTTCAACACTGTATACTTTGATGACAAGTAATATTATTAAGGTTAATTGCATATAGATTCCTTGTGGTATCTGTGTTTTGATCTTCTGGGTTTAACTTTTTTGACATGGTAAGCAGATATATTGATAAGTAATATATTATATCTAACGATCTAATCAATTTATATTGTACCATCGAAACATGTATTTGTATTTTGGATACGGATCAGTTTTTTTTTTGCCTACGTATGTGTCTTTGTATTCGTATCTTACTAGATGTAGATATTTTTATATCAATATCTCATTTGCATGCTTAATAATATTAGATACAACTTTGAAAAGGACTGGGAGGGATAAAGTACAATTTACGTTGTAAATATTAGTCATTGTCTAGCTTCTTTTTCCCAAAAAGAAGCTATTGGTTATAAAAAAAAAATACTACTCAATTACTAGTTCTCAAATTTATCATGACGTAACAATTTATGTTCTTCATCAACCGAAACAGAGCAACCTATTACGAATGAGCATCCTACATCACTGCAAGCACCAATTTGCGTCCTTAATTCGACGACTCGAAGCCAAAGCTCATTTGCTCATTAGAAAGAAGGACGAAGAGCTGGCCGTGATCACGAACAAAGCAATGCAGCTCGAGTTTTGTTTGCAGAGAATAGAGCAAGACAAGGAGACGTGGAAAAGGGCCGCGGGGGAGAGCGAGGCACTGGTTATTTCTCTCAACAAGGCGCTGGAGCAGCTGCAGGGTCCTTGTTTATCTTCAAATGGGGGGAAAGGAGGAGAAGAAATAGAGAAAGGGGAGGAAATAAGTTCAACGGCTGACAACGGAGGCTCTGGGTTCTGTAGGATATGCGGGGTCAGGAGCTCTTGTGTGCTGCTGCTCCCTTGTAGGCACGTTTGTTGCTGTCAGGTTTGTGATGCTTGCGTTGGGGCTTGCCCTGTTTGTGAGTCTGCGAAGGACGGGAGCGTCGAGGTGTTTTTTGCATGAGAGGAGTTTTGATCTTTCTTTTTTTTTTTTTAGAGTTTTCGCTTTTGTGTTTTTTTTTTGTTCATTCTGTCTTTTTTCGGTTAGGATGCAAGGAAGAGATTATGGCTGGAAGGTTGTATTCGTATCTTTTTGGTGTTCATCTGTTTGCGCATTAAATGTTAAGGGGTTTTCGACCTTACGTTCCCAAATCCAACCAATTTTGCAAAGTTGGCCCCAGATGTTCCTTATTGAGTTAATATCCTGGGGACTCAAAATCGTACTGTAGGGATGATTTTCAATCCACAAAATAAGTAGTGTTTTTTTTAGAAAAATTCCTTAAGAAAAAAAAAATGAGATCAACAGAGGGACATGTGAGGTGAGGTGTCCTCCTCCTATTACATAATGAGCTGACCATCATTAATGATGGCCAGCTTATTATGCAATATGAGGGGGACATCTCACCTCACATGTCTTCCCTGTTGGTCTTATATTTTGGGTCCCTATAGCAAATCTCTTTTTTTTTCTCATCGGGTATAATAAAGGCTAGATATCATAAAACCCCCCTTAGCTCCGGATGATTATGAGAAAAAACCCTTAACTTTTAAAATATCAAAAAACCCCATTAACTTTAGGGTTTATTAGAAATCTCCATTTAACTTTTAGATTTTATTAGAAAGCCTCCTAAATTATGAGGTTTTTTTTATAAAATCTGAAAGTTAAAGGGTTTTTTTTTGATAAAATCTGAAAGATAAAGGGGGGTTTTGTGATAATTCCTATACTCGAGGGGTTTTTCTCATATTTTGAAAGTTAAAGCGAGGTTTTCGGATAATTATCCAAAGTTGAGGGGGTTTTGCGATGTTTACCCAACAATAAATGAAAGCGTCTAAAATCGATTGAGATTGGTTTTTCATTATTTGCTTCCTTCACATCGAAGGATATAATAAATGAAAGCGTCTAAAATCGGTTGACATTAGCTTTTCACCGTTTGCCTCTTTCGAGGTGTTCCTCGATTTGTTTCGATGCAGGCTCGAAGTGAACAAGCTTTTACTCGGGTCTGATTTGTACCCACCAGGATCCCCCACCATAACGACGGCGCATCTTTTCTTTTGACAGCTGAAGCCAATGACGTCAACAAAACTAAAACTTGAAGTTGCCCTTGGGTTCAAGGAGCAAACATTTGTTCCATTTATGTGTTAGATTAAGAGAAGTTAATTTTTAAATGTATTTTTGTAATGACTTATTGAGTTAACTTTAGTTACTTATTTTATCTTCCGGATTAGATAGTTCTTTTCTTATATGTCGATAGTTCTTTTCTTATATGTTGTGTTATTATATATATTAGTGTGTGCTCTGTGCAAAGCACGGTCCCCTGTTTTTTTAAGCATCGCATTTTGAACTTGTCTTCCTCTAAGTTTTAACACATATGATTTAATTATTGTACGCTTAAAAATTAGAAATCATATCTACTCCTACATACTTAAAAAATGATCTAAGTTTTAATACATTTGATTTAAAAATCATATCTTCTTCTCTATACTTGAAGGAGAATTCACGTTTTAATACATTTAATTTACTTTACTGTTTATAATATAATACATTACTGTAAAATTAATAGTAGAGGCTCATATCTGATTCACTGTTTATTCTATAATAAATACCGTATCATAAACAGTACTTTGAGTGGGGAGGGCCAAATCAGGTTTAATGTTCATGCTATAGTTTTCACTGTAGCACTTGACTGTAGCATGAACAGTGATTCTTTAGATCCTTCTATAAGTATAGAAGAGTAGATTTATGCATGTGTACATTTAAAGATACTAGTGTAATGCATGTGCTTTGCACGTGGACATGTTATTGTATTAATATTATATTATTTATTAAATTATATATAAATATTTTACAAAGTTATTTAATTGCTATGTCAAATATATTATTTATTAAATTATATATACTCATCATTTTTTCTTATTTTATCCAATGTGAAACTATATATACTCACGTATTAATCACCTCAACAACACAAGAGATAACAACTCCCACCCATCCACGAGGAATAAAAACTAAAATCCCCTATTTTCGCATTCAATTCTGGTATTTTCTTCCTCAACGCTCGCCAACTGCTCGTTTTAACTCCTCTTAGGACAAATATTTTTCAACCGAGACAACTGTTAGCAGGTGTGTGGACTGAAACGCACCACATAGAGTATAATGGGTTCCGCTCCAAAATGAGCAAGCTGAGCTTGCAGCCGCAGCTCAATTGTCAAAGCTAGTCCCCACTCTGGCCTTTCTTCATCTGAAAATGGGGCGAAATTTTGCAACGTGATTATATCATATTTCTCTCAGTCAATGTAAGTGAGTGCAGTCAATACATATATATATTATGATTTTCTTCCGAGTATGGCGTGACTTAAAGGGGTCTTAAATTTCAAATAATGCAACCCTCCAACAACTTTGCCAGTCTAGCTCAAAGTTGTTCTAACGCTCCACATGACCAAATTAAACCGCACGCGTACGGCGCATCATGACAACGTACAAGAAGAGGCTATATAACCACAGACGTCCCCGCCTTCTAATTTCTGCATCATATCATATCTTTTGTTTCCTTAGCTACTCCGATATGAATTTCTCCTCAATGAAGGTTTCATTTCTTGTGTTTGGTAGTGTTTGTTTTGTTTTAACATCGGCAGCGGCGCAAAAACAAACGCAGAACGCGACGTTGCCTACGTTTCCGGCCTTGATAGCTTTCGGAGACTCAATCTTGGACACTGGCAACAACAACCTGCTGTCCACAATTGTGAAGTGCAATTTTCCTCCTTATGGGAAAGATTTTATCGGTCACGAGGCTACTGGGAGGTTCAGCAATGGAAGAGTCCCCTCGGACCTTATAGGTACGGATCGATCGAGATTAGTTAGTTTAATAATGCAGCTAGCGTTAATTGCGCAGAGATCTCCTGTGGTATCACGCTTTAGGTCGACCCTTCATAAATTTCTTTCGACTCTCGTCGGTCTATCTGCCAAAATCAAACTGCATGGATTATAAGTTCGAAAGCATGATACTACAAGATATCTATGCACGTACAACTAATCCTAGAGTATTGTATTTGACATGCTCTTGAGTGTTGTTGTAACATATTGCTCTTGGGGGTCTAATTACTAACCATATCTAGTTTATGAAATTTCTGTTGGGTAGGTTAATTTTGACTTCATCCTTTCCCTCCTAACAGAAAAGAGAATATCTCGCTTAATTTTATGATGGCTGTGTTAAATTTCAGCTTCAAAGTTACGCATAAAGGAGTTATTACCTGCCTACCTCAGCCCAAAATTAAGCAATGAAGACCTTCTGACTGGCGTCTGCTTCGCTTCTGGTTCATCTGGGTATGACCGTCTCACATCTGCAGTAATGGTATGTATATATACGCTAAGTAATTATATAATAATTACTATTACTAACAATATTTTATTTTTCTTAAATCATCATTAATTTATTGTGGATGATTATAGGCAGTGATAACAATTCAAGACCAATTGGAGATGTTCAAGGACTATATAAAGAAGCTACAAGCAATTACAGACACCAAAAGAGCTGCGAAGATCATCGGTGAAAGTTTATACGTAGTTTGTTCTGGGAGCAATGATGTTGCGAACACCTATTTTACCTCTCTCCTGAGAAAGGCAGAGTATGATGTGCCTTCATACACCAGTTTCTTAGTTAATTCGGTTTCTGATTTTCTTGAGGTAAGTTTAATCTTGAGAAAATATTGGAATGCTATGTCAAATATCACAAGCTATCAAAATTCATAGTTCTCTTCAATGTTTTATGGAAGGTAATTAAAGTGAGACAAACAAACTCAAAGGGTTATGTGAAATCCCCTTCCAAATTCAAGGGGGTGATGTAAAATTAACGCTTAAGCGTGCGCTAGAATATGTTTGTAAATTTGTTACATTCATTGTACTAACTATATATCTTTCATTATCCGTCCATTTTAATGCATGTAGAAGCTGTACAGCTTGGGTGCACGCAAAATTGCTGTTGTCGGACTTCCTCCTCTGGGTTGTCTTCCATCACAGAGAACTCTTGCTGGAGGAATGCAAAGAGACTGCGTCTCCTTGTATAATCAAGCTTCACAGCAGTATAATCTCAAACTCACTAAAAGACTAGGAATTCTCCAGAACAAATTTGCAGACGCAACCATCGTTTATGCAGATATATATCATAGTTTGCTTCGTCTCATTCAATACCCATCAGAATATGGTAAGTTTATAATGTTAGTTGCGCATAGACCCTACGACTCTGGTGATTTCATTGTTGCAGACAGGCCCTTTTTTTTGACACTTTTAATATTGGGTCTACGTGAGGGTAAAAGAGTCAGAAAAAATTTAACCTTAGATCCATCTGCAACAATGAAACTATAGTCTATAGGATAGTAATTTTTATTTTTGTCGTAGAGGCAATTTTAATGTTTATACAGACTAATAATCTTGTATTTTTTTTACCTTTGTAGGGTTTGAGGAGTCGAAGAAAGGTTGTTGTGGGACTGGAGAGTTTGAACTAGGACCATTGTGTAATAGAAAGTCGGTTATGTGCTCTGATGATTCTAAATATGTGTTTTGGGATAGTTTTCACCCAACGGAGAAGGCGTACAAGATTCTTGTAGACGAACTTGTTCAGGAAATCTCGCCACACTTTTTATGAAGATAATGTGTATGTATATCTCAATATACACAATGGTTTTAATCGAGTAACATAACTGCGTCTTCTCTAAATGATAGCGAGATGGACAAATTGAGGGTTGTTGAATTCTTGATGTGGCAAAATTTAACCGCAACGAGTAATTGGAAATTATTTTTTGAGAAAAGTAATTAGCAAATTTTGACGCGGGAAAAAAATTGATTGACCGCAATGGTATGAATATGATTCCTTCCTAAGGAGATATGGACTTGGAGTAGTATTTTACTTTGACTTGGGGTCGGTGTGGACCGGTTTGAACTGGGGGTTGAACCGGCCCATCCCATCTTGGACCGAGACCAAGCCGGACTCATGGTGGGACATGCCTAATCCAATCCGATTTAGAGGCGGGCCAAAGTCGAACTGGATTTAAGTTTAGATCCGGGGCTAAAGAGACAAACATGACCCAAAAAAGCCCAACCCACTATTGAGCTGGCCTGATTCCAACACGAGCCGACCTGGATCCATTTTCTTTTCTTACCCAACCCAAATTTGATAGACCAATTTCAAATATTAAAGATGCAAGGGACTGATATCAAAAAAACACATAACTTCTGGTTAATTTTACAAAACTGCCATGAAATATTAGAAATTTGTATAAAAAGACATAACCTATTTTTATTAGAGAAAAATATAATAAATTTTCAAATATAAAAAATATCATACATTATCATAAAATTGTAACTATACCCTATCAGTCAAAGGGAATGGAGTAGACGGACCTATAAAAAGTAAATAAGTCAAATCGTAAAAAAATATGTTCATGTATTACACAAACTCCATCATTCATAACCACATATATCTGTATTTGTGATTTTTTGTGTGATGTTGATCTTTTTGCAACATGACTATATATTTTTATTTTAAATAAAGGGCTTAAAATAATAAAAAAATAAAATAAATATAATAATTTTATAAATATACAAGTATAGTACAATATAGGAAAAAAGGGGAAAAAATTTAAAGACCAAAAAGTTTTTTTTTTAAATTAACACGGACCGACCCGCAATCCAAACTGTCGGTTCACAG